GGAGTACAGTTCTACTTTGAAACACATGGGTCACCAAAAATCAGAATCAATTTGACAGCAACTCTTTTTTTTTTTTTGGCCAAGAAAAGTTTGAGCAGTAGCTTCATGGTAATTCAGTGTAGACAAAGAGTGCGCAGAGGACCAGCTCTTTGATGGGATCCACCAAAAGCATCCAACAGCTGACACAGAACTGATGTGGAACAGGGCTGGCAGACCATTTAATAAAAGAAAACATCAAGAAGATGTGGAGTTTATTTCTTCCCAGTGCTCTGAATGTCAAAATCTGAATAAAGCTCAAATAAAGAAAGGAATAATTATGAATTAAAAAAAAAAACCACACTGCCATCGAGTCAATTCCAACTCATAGTGACCCTATAGGGCAGAGTAGAACTTCCCCATAGGGTTTCCAAGGAGAGGCTGGTGGATTTGAACTGCTGACTTTTTGGTTAGCAGCCACCCTAGTGGCGTAGTGGTTAAGAGTTCAGGTGCTAACCAAAAGGTTGGCAGTTCGAATCCACCAGTGCTCCTTGTAAACCAGTTCTACTCTGTCCTATAGGGTCACATGAGTCAGAATCGACTCGACGGCAAGTTAGTTTTTTTTTTTTGTCTTGTAGTTATGTAAAATGATTTTCCATAAGTAGCAGTAATAGTGTTTCCTTTGGAGTCCCTAGGTGGTGCAAAAGGTTTACATGCTCGGATGCTAATCAAAAGGTTGGATGTTTGAGCCTCGGAAGAAAGGCCTGGCAATCTACTTCTGAAAAATCAGCCATTGAAAACCCTATGTAGCTCAGTTCTGACACACAAGGGTCACCATGAGTTGGAAATGACAGCAACCGGTTTATATGGTTTCCATTATATAAAAAGCAATTTGATAAAAAAAAAAAATTTAGTACAGGTAGTACAAAAAAATCATGAAAATAATACATTAACAATTAACCTCTGAAAATCACTGCAATAAAGCCAAAATAGGTGTTAATGATTATAGAAACAGGTTTTTTTAATAAAACAAAAGCTTCACCATTATCCACTCTTTTAATTTTTTTTTCCTTTTCCCTGACTTTACAGCTAACCAAGAGCGAGACAAAGTCAAACGTATGTATATAAATCTTAAATTGTTTCATTAAGAGCTATGTGAATTATATCACTGCATTATAAGAAACAATGTCTAACACAATATTCTATGTTTGATTCTTAGGTTACTACTCTCTTCAGTATCCAGAGTGGCCGATATACTTACGTAACAGATACACCTCTCTCTTTCTCATTGTTAGTCCATTAATTCATATACTGACTGTTATAATTACCATTTTGATCAAACACAAATATCCTAACTTAGTTCTTTTGGAATAATACAATCCAAACAAAAAAAAAAATCATATATGGCTTTTTTTAAAACAGTAACATTGGATGTTGTCTTAGGCTGGGTTCTCTAGAGAAGCAAAACCAGTAAAGCGTACAAATATATATAGAGAGATTTATATCAAGGAAACAGCTCATACGATTGTAGAGGCTAGAACATCCCAAGTCCGTGGATCAGGGTAGAGGCCTCTCCCAAGTCACGTAGCTGGAGAAGCTGGCGAGCCCAAGATTGGCAGGTCAGAGAGCAGGGCTCCCGCTCATGGGCTGTGAAAATCAACGAATCCCAAGTTCAGCAGATAAGCTGACAGCTCAAGTCCCAAGAACCGGAGATGAGATGACAGGAGGCAGCCGCAGGATCCAGAGTGAGCAAAAAGCCAGAACGTCTGCTTATGTTCAGATGCAGGCCACACCCCCAAGGGAACTCCCTTTCATCTGATGGGCTACTCACAGTATATTCAATCATGGGAGTGATCACATTTAAACACTGAGGATCATGGCCCAGCCAAGCTGACACACAATTTTAACCATCACAGATGTATTTCTAATTTAAAAAACATTTCGGGAAAAAAAATGTGCTATTACACTAAGCCCTTATACAAACAAATTCCCGACTCTACAGGATAAACTCATCTTTACTTTTCACTTTTCTATGAAGATAAATATCTTCAGTAAGTAAGCTAGCCTCTCTATGTCTTAGCTTCCAAATCTGTAAAATGAGTGAGTCAGACTTAGGTGATTCTAACTAACTCGTGACCCTCATTTTTAGTTACAAACATTTCTACATTACTTGTCACATGCTGCCTCAACTCTAAATGTCTGTGATTTTTCTCCCTCACTCCACTGCAACTTGCTCTCTCTCTGTTTTACCTCTCCCCAGATTTAGGATAGAATAATAATTAAGGAACTTGATTTAAGAGGCTTATGGGCTATAATCTTGGTATAAAAAGTAAAATGTTTAATTGCTATCATTAAAGAGGGAGAGAGAGCAGTCAAAATTTGATTTTCCTCAAAACCAAATGCTTGGACATGATTATATTTAATAGTCTAACCAGTGGTGTCATTCATTGGATTTTATTGATAATTACAATAGCTAAGCAATAGTTCATTCCAAAAATTTTTATATAAAACAATCTAAAGAATTACTCCTAAAATCCCAATTAGGCAAAATCTGCCTAGAACAGATTAGGTCCAACATACACAAAATTTAAAAAAAAAAAAAAAAAAAAAAAAAGCATGAATACAATAATTTATTTATAAAGAACTGTGTTTTAGAAACAAAAGCAACTCAGAAGAAAAAAATGATCAAAGTATTCCTTCTCAAACATAAGGCAACTAATGCCTAGTATACCTCAAAATCCTTTATGAAAGGAGATAGCTGAATAAATTCTAGTTCAGGTTTGTTTTTTTTTTTGGTGTGTATATGTTACTTTTTCGTCTTCTTTTTCTTTTCATTTGCTTCCATCTTAAGCTTAAGTTCCTCAGCTGTAAATGCTCCCAGTTTCTTATTCTTTGCTTTCTTAACCTTTTCTTTGATGGCAGCCACATCAATTTTAGTTTCAATAGAAGCTAGACAAATGAAAAACACAATATATGTAATTCTTTACATTTTACCTAATAAAGCATAAACAATATGTGGTTAGGACAACAGTTTCAGAATACTGTTAGAACTGAAAGGTAATATAAAATATCTGCCTAAAGGCATGAAATTCTGAACCACCATTTCAAACTTTCTTTAAACTAAGAAAACAATAAATCATAAAGCAAGGTGCTATAACTATGCATTAGTAAAAGTATGCATGAAAATAAGTTTTTAACTTAGAAATTCAAACCAATTACTGAATTCAGCTATATTAAAACTATCTTTTTCCTCAAATCCACTTGAGACCAGATTATTTTTAGTTATTCTTTTTCATATTTTTTTTAGGACTTTAGACTACTCATTAATATGACAATTATCTATCACATGTAAAACTAATTTAAAATTAATTTCATGAAGATTATTACATGTAACCCTTCAAGCCTCAATACATTTAATTAGCTAACCATGAAGCCATAGGTTAAAACTGACTGTATCTAACACAACAAAAAAATCAAAATAAAAGTTTTTCAAATAGTTCAATGAATGACTAGTAGTATGTTATTTAACAAAATTTTGGTAGTAAAAACAATAATTTGGATAAGTTTGTGGAAGTCCTCCTATATAATCAACATATAATCAATGTCAAAAATGTGAATAAAATAGGGGAAGGAAGCACAAAATGATGCAATTTTTTCTTACGATTTAAAGTACAGTATTCAGAGCACAAAAGGACTGTAGGATAAAAAGTTCATACAAACTATTTAGCAACTTGAAAAGCACAGAGATTGAAAGCTTCCGCTATAGTGGAACAGCCACATTTTAAATTACTATTATAGACTAAGGTTAAATTAGCTAGTGAATATCTTCAAAATACATAACTGACATAATGCATAAACTGGAAATTATAACATTTGATGTTTTTAACTTTTACATAACCTATCATCTACAGAGTAGAATACAGTACTTTTAAGTTGTCAGCACTGCTGCCACATTAAGATATCATAACAGTAATGGATTATCTCTGTTTTTGACCAATAGGTCACACACAATCCTGCCACTATGCCCACCCCTCCCCTACTGTGCCGCTATTTACTCTGGAGGGTTACTTTAGGAAGCGTACAAGTATTACCAGAGGGGGGAATGCAGAAGAAGAGAAAATAAATCAATTAAAATGAAGCTAGAAATGAAGAAAAGCATAAGGGAAAAGTGCTTTTCCTTATCATCTTTTTAATAGCCCCTCAATGATTTCTTCCTGTCATACTGTTAGTGTTCTTTAGCCCAAAGTGGTAACAAATCCATGTTAAGAATAATGGAACCAAACTTTAAGCCATAGAACACACAAATAAAGGGAAGAAAAGCCCAAACTCTGAGAAGCCCTTTCTGAGAGGCATGATAGCAAGTTCAGGGGTCTCACTGCTTCACTGTTACCTTATCTCTACAGGGGATGCACTGCTCTGGTTGTGTCTCTCCCAACAAAGAGTCCTTCCCAAGCCCAAGACACAGGTCAGGGCACTGTCAATCTGGAATACCCTGAAATAGCCATTAGTCACTACTAAATTATAAATTACCCAAGATATTTGTTATTCCTAGGATGAGTGAAATGGTAAGAGAAATGATGGAGGATATAGTTATTTCTTTACTTGACAGTCAAAGAGATTCAGACAAATTCAGTTGAAAAACAAACATTACCTTCCTTGGGTTTCACAACTGTTTTTTCTTTAGGTGGAATAAAAGCTTTATTTCTTTCCTCTTGCCTCTTACTGAGAGCTTCCGCTTGTTTAGCCTACATTATTAGTAGAGGATACATTAGTAAAATAAAATTTACAGTCAAAGATTTAAGTTTCTATGAACTTTGCTGATAATGCTGTGAGCTAGACATAAACAGTCTTACCTTTATTGCTTCCATTTTCTGTCGCTTCTTCTGACTTGCTTTCAAAAAGTATTCACCACTAGCCAATTCTTTATCAATCTGTAGAAAATGCCATTTACAATTACTTCAGGAATAATGTAGATGAGAAATCATTTCCTAAGACCGAAAACTAGGAGTAAATTTTTAATTTTGCAACTTTGGAAAGAGGACTATTTGAATACACAGAGCTTCAGGCTTTTTCTTTCCCCCCAACTAATAAGTTCAACCATTGCCAGCCCTAGAATGGGGTACCAAACGAGTATAAGGCAGTATTTTGGACTCTGTAAGCAAGTACCCAAAAACCACTACAGTGAAGGCTACATATAAAAATACAGAACACTTTCTCCAGCAAATGCTGTTCCCTACCACATGTATCAGTAAAGTGAGCATTGAGTATGGTACACAAGGTGATTGAAAGTATATAAAAGAACCAAATTAGTAATTACAGATAATAAAATAATTATCCAAGAAAAAACAATTATTTTCAACTTTATAAGAATTAACAAAATACAGCTGACAAAGGCCATGCTGCACATGGTAAGGTCTCTTCCTGGCTAAAATTTAATACAATAAAATCTGCAAAATTAGACCTGGAGATTGAGACTTAAATGAAATTCATGGTGGCCAAAGCTAATTCAGTAAAATCTGGTATTAAAAAAAAAAGTTTGAAGAATCAAATCCTCACTGTCAAATTATACATGGAAAAGTTAATTTAATAAAAAATATAAAAGCATAAAACACTTAGAAATATTTTAGTGCATTATAAAGAAGTTTATAGTGGTATTTAATATGGAAATACTACTGTGCAGAAATTTCAGTACTAGTATAGTTTCAATATAAATCTTTACAAAGTCTTTGGTGTTAGGACAGAGGGGTTAAAACTCCCTATGATTAATTCTTAAAGGCAAGACAGAAAAATAAAGAAGTGTACCCTAAGCTGAGGGAAATACAGGCACAAAAAGCATGGAGGTGGGAAAGTAGATGATGTGTTCGTGAGACGTACTACACACTGGTTTAGGTGAAGTGGAAGGTCAATGTTTCAGCGAAGTGTAAGAGGAAATTGGAAAGACAGTTTTGGAGAAGCCTGAAAAGGCCTGAATAAAGAAGCCAGGATATGATTTGAAATGACTCAAGGTTTCTTAGAAGAGTGAAAAGATCAAAGCAGCATTTTAATAAGGTACAGAACAACAAAGAAAAAGCAATAAAAGACTGAAATAAAGGCAATGGCATTCAGAATGACAATCAAGAACTGCCAGGATTTGGTGACTAATTAAATACTAATTAGAGAAAACCATAGCTCGTTCATTCAATATATTCAGTATTTATACCTGTTCTATCTTATACAGTATTATCATATCCAAGGCACTGTTCTAGGCTCTTTACAAATACTAACTCATTTAATCCTCATTAACAATTCTTGGAGATAGGTATTATTATTACCCCCTTTTTACACATGGCGAAACTGAGGCATAGATGAATTAAACAGCTTGCTCAAACTCACACAGCAAATAAGCTGGCAGAATAAGTCAAATGAGACATCACTGTCTTCAAGAAACTTACAGTCTTAGGGGAGAAAGACAAGTCAATTAGTAACCATAGGACAGGGCCATAAAAAGTATGGCAGGTGCTACGGAAGCATGATTTAATAACTAGACCCCTCTACTTTTCTCCAACTGTCAGTTTCCTTCTGGCTTCACTTTGCAGAGTAGACCCCATGATCCACCACTTCCATTGTTTTTGCACTGTAATCATCATTCCTTTTCACCCTTTGATCCTTCATCATACCTTCCCTCAAAAACCTCAAACACAGGGCTGTGGAGAAGATGGTATACAGAAAGAGATCGGGTTACATGCTGAGTAGAAAGAACTAGTAGAGAGGGAAGACTTTAAGATATAACGTAGGGAGGGGAAGATGAAGCAAGACCCCTCAAGAAGTAGGTATAACCAGACTTAATGGTCTGAGACTGGAGGAACCCCAGAAGACATGGCCCCCAGACTCTCTGTTAACTCGAACTAAAACAATTCCTGAAGCCAAGTCTTCAGACAAAGATTAGACTGGACTATAACACATAAAATGATACTCGTGAAGAATGTGCTTATTCTTAGCTCAAGTAGATACATGAGTCTAAATGGGCAGCTCCTGTTCAGAGGCGAGATGAGAAGGCAGAAAGTGACAGGAGCTGGTTGAATGGACACAGGAGATCTGGGGTGGAAAGGGGAGTGTGCTATCATATTACAGGGATAGCAACTAAGGTCACATAACAATGTGTGTATAAATTTTTGTATGAGAAACTAACTTGAGCTGTAAACTTTCACCTAAAGCACAATGGGGGAAAAAAAAAAAGGAAAAAAATAAAAACTTAGTATCAGAAAAAAATTTAAAAAAAAAAGTAGGTATAAGATGGAATTCAAAGAAGTAAAAAGAAAGATACAAATAGAAAAAAAAATGTGTAAGAGAAAAGGAAGATGAGAAAATTCTTGTCAAGTATTTCAGTAAACTAAAAGGCAAAGTCATCCGCTAGGAATGGGAGAGTCTCAGAGAATTAAGAGGACACACAGAAGAACTGCTAGACAATACTGAGAACCTACCTGACGCTGGAAACATGAATCTACAGTGGATTTAACCCAAAGATATTATTTTCTCCACCTAAGTTTAGTAGTCACAGTATGGGTGAGAAACCACATTTTTTGGACTGATCCAAGTTTTAGGGTTTTTCAGGGCAGGTGTGATAGAAGGGGAAGGGGGGCGCATGAAAGAAAAGAGAGAAATAGAAATTCTAGTCATGGTGGGAAAAGAAACGAAGCCTGAAGGCAGTTGACACAATGGGAGAAAATGGAGGGATTCATAACTTAGAGGAAGGATAGATATTAGAATTCAAAAAATTCAGAGCTGGAGCAGTCATATAGTATGTCATCACAGAAATATTGTAAAGCAGAATAAGAGCATTGTAGGGCTAAACCGTTGGTTTTTTTAAATCCACAGAACATTTATAGTCGCTACAGAGACAGACTGCCACCAACCACCTTAATGAGTTTACATACATGTTGTAAAGTCTCCACTCCACCCTTTACCCCCATTAACTTAGCCTCAAAATTAAGTTCATTTACACTTACCTTCAGTTTCTGCACACCCAAACAAGTACACACACACACACACACACACACACACAGACATTTTACCTAAAATGCCCTCAATAAAGTTTCTGACAAAACACATTTATTTAAATAGTCTCCCCCTCTTTTAAAGAAATTCAAGATTTAATACTGACCTGACTTTCTGGCTGTGGTGGTGGGAATGGTGTATACTCTTTCTTAACAGTTTTCTTCTTTGGTTCCTTGCGTTTATTCACATTTTTGTGTTTGAATTGTGGCAAAAATCTTTCCCAACTTTGTGATCTTAATTCAGAATCTTTTGCCAATTCTCGTTTAATCATTAAGGTCTTTAATCAAGGGAACATAAGAAAGCAAAAATTTTTAATTTCAAAATGTGAAACTAAGATAATAAAAATTTTGTTTCTATAAATAATAAAATTAAAAGAGGTAAGTAGTAGTTCCTAGTCTCTTCAGTGAGATTAAACCAATTCCATAAAGAAAAACAAGGATATCTCAATCATGTATAATTAGTTACGCATTAGAAAACCATTAGAAATTTAGATTAAGAAATGCAGAACTGTTACAATATTTGAGATGAAAATGAAACTAATTCAGCTTTGTGACCACTATTACATTACAACCATAAAATTCAAGTTAATAATAGCAGGGGGTGTTTCTTATTAGTTCTATGTTCCCTGTGAGCAGAAGTGTTTAGTAGCCACCAAGATCTTTCACAGGGAAAAAGAAAAGCAGAATAAATGTGTTCATGATTAGATAAAATCAATATTCTCACATTCCTGCCACTCTGCTTTAATTTTATGGACCTTAGAGCATCAAAGGATGCAAACCAGGCATCAGATGCACCACTAACTCTCCTTTTATCTGCAATATCCCGAAGTAACTGAAAATCGCTTTATCACATCAATCTCATGGCAACTTTTAAATTTAAATTGATTGCTCAACAAATACCCATCACCACAGCTCATTATACCATGGTTACATTTCTACAGACGATCCTAACTTTGTATACACAATAGATCTCTCTCAAAAAGGCGTACAATTTGAGTTTTAAATTCTAAAAAAGGTTTTAATGTGATGACATATCCCAGACTTTATTTAAAAGAAGTATAATACTGGATTAATATAATCTATGACAAATTCTGTGAAGCTCATTTTCCTTGTATGAGAATAATATGATATACTACAGTATTCCTTTCAATAGTTTTCAAACTGTGCTCTAGAAGGCTGGGGTGAAACAGAAGTGGAGTTGAGTAGGCTGGACTCTACCTTTAATTTACACAAAATAGCTCTGCTTTATCTATTTTATGTATTAGCTTTCATAAAATATTTAATTTCAGGAAAAGTTACTGTTTCTAAGAGTAGTTTATCAATCATCACTATAGTAATATATAATTAACACTCACTTTAATGTTATATATTGGATGAATATTCTTCATAGTATCTAAGACTACTTTCCGAACCTAAAATTTATGAATAAAAATAAATTAGTCACAAAGATTTCAATGAACTGGATAGCAGAGGATTATTATACTGCAAAATATCCTACGTATCAGGCAACAGCTACCAAATTGAATACACAGTAAAACTTGCAAAAGGCGGAACCTGTGTAAGGTGGAAATTTGTCAGAGAAGGAAAACTCAAATATTTTCCACAAGATAGAGTGATAGGAAGTGGTGACCGTACCCTGTCAAAGGCAGAAAACTTGTGAGACCCAGAAAAACAAGGCAGTCCCGTGGAGTAACTGGCTATCACAGGTTTCACTGTAGTAGTCCCTCCAACTGCTCTGAGTGGCTTCGAGAACCTTCATAATAATAGTCACCCTCTTCTGAATACAATGAAGTTTCTCAACTTTTCTGCTAAAATGTGGTACCTGGAATTATCACAACACTCTGGAGCTATACAATTTAGGGGGAAAGGGACTGGTTTTAGAGTAAAGTATAAATTAAAAATAATGAGACTGCTACTTCGTACAGGAAAGTCACTTAATTTAATTTTTCTGTTCCGGCTTTCTCGTTTGTAATATGGAAATAAAACTATCTACCTCGAAAGTCTGTTGTAAGAATTAAATAATATATTTTAAAGACTTCACAAAACTATAAAATATTCAATATATTTAAGTTGTTATTGCCTTATGAGAAAAAGGCAGATAATTTATGAGAAAGAGGTCAAAATAGAATTACTATTAAAAGACCCAGTAAGGAACCAAGATGCAAAACCTCACAGACACATCCAGACAGCAACAGCATCAAAGAGTGAATAGAAAGTCTCTGCTCCACAGATTTTCTCATAACATTAATTTAGCAAGTTAAATAAAATACTCAACAAAAAATTTATTAAACTCTACACTAAAAATTCAAACAAAACAAAATATATCTTGAAAGAAAAAAAAGTTTTCAGTCTGACCTCTACTGGCTGGACGCATTACTGCAAATTAGATCTACGGAAATCTCCAATCATTTGAGCACACGTGTAACTAGATCACATTCCTGGTATGTGCTACAGAACCAAGATCTTCAGTGCCCATTTAAAATTTGTAGCCGGAAGAGTGATGATGAGCAGACTTTCTCATTCAGAAATAGATTTCTCCACAGTTGCCAAAGGTTGGCCATAATACGTTAGGCTCCAGGACAGGTGACCCATTCAAATAACATGAAGTACAAATTACTTACTAATGGGAATCAAACAACACATATTCTAAAAGCATAATTATAAAGCCATATTTAATCCAATGAACTATTACAAACAAACTATTTAATTTTCCCTCTATTGAAAATTAACCGAAGATAATAGTTCTCATTTACCTCTTTTAAGCCACTGAAGGGTCCAATGGCTGACACCGTGTTTCCCTGAACCATAATGTAACAGTTTGTTAACAGTTCCAATGCCTGTCTCAAAAGAACAATAAGCTGAAATTTAGTACACTGAAAAAACTAATGTAGAGGTAGCTATTTAGACTTTCCACTGATTAAAAAGTACCTTCAACGTAGATCCTTTGGGACCAATAAGCCGTTGTCTTCTTTTTACAAATCTTTCTTTATTTCGTACTAAAGAACCTATTTTAATGATGTCACATGCAACATCATCCTGAAGAATTCGTACTGCCTTTTGGAAAAATAAAGATAATACTCCCATCAATATTCTTTACAAATATATTTCTTTACCAAGCCCAGGCTAATATCTTAACATAAACATGCAAAGTATATGGCAAAAGACTTTATACATGCTGTCTCTAATGTTAATACAACTAAAGCAAAGTCTTTGCAATTTTACATTTACCTGCTCAAATGAAACACTCCTTGCTAAAAGTTTTATTAAGTCTCTGGCCCTAATGATGATATATGGATCAAAAGTCTTCTTTGTTGTACAAACAGTCATGCTGCCCTCAATCAGGTCCAAGGTTGCATTAACGTGCTACAAAAAGGACAGAGCAAACAAGCAGTTGTCTAAAATTGCATTCAATATTAGATAATTATAGCACTCATCCTAACCAAACTAAACCAAACCCACTGCCGCAGAGTCAATTCCAACTCATAGTGACTCTACAGGACAGAGTACAACCGCCCCATAGGGTCTCCAAGGCTGAAAATCTTTAAAGAAGCAGGTTGCCACATCTTTCTCCTGCAGAGCAGGTGGTGGGTCCCAACTGCTGACTTTCGGTTAGCTGCCTTTTGGTCAGTAGTGCTTAACCACTACAAAACCATTTATCAATTTCTGTGCTATTAAGTCATCTTTCAAATTCTTTCAACTCCCACTCTGAAGAAACTGGGTAGTTAAACATAAAATAATACTTGATTACTTTCATCCTTCACATAATATTAGAAACCCAAACAATTGAAACTATTCATACTTGGCTTCAGAATACATTGTACTTACTAAAACAAAACTTATCTCTAGTCTAAAAAATGTACATTAATCCAAATGAGACCATACTTAGGACCTAAGGTAGAAATGTAAAGCTATATAGCTTCCCCAGCCTGGACCCAGCTCCAATCTACAATCTACTCCCTAGATAAGAACACACTTTCCCTTCCAAACTTTTTTCTAGCTGGTTAGGGGACTAAGGGCAAAGTAAAAACAAATTATTATAGATTCAGAAAGAATCTATAATTACGAAAATTAAGCATTTATTCTCAATAGAAAGAATAAGATTTAAACAAAGCAAATAAAAACACTATTTTCTGACTAATGAGCATAATCTAAGCAATATTTCAACATAGTGAGTGATAAACAATACACTTAAAAGAAAAGGTATAAGCAAGAGAAAAATCTCAAAGAAATGGATAAAATGTGCATACATGTTCATTCAAGGATTTCTGCACCAGTGGCCAGCACTCTTTCAGGTAAGCCTCTCTATATTTTGGAAACAAAGTTGCAAAACTGCTCTCCTCCAAGAGTCCTCTGGGATTGTCCTCTTTGGAAAAGGCTGGTTCTTTCCAACCATCAGGAACAGTGAGGAGTTCTGAATCATCTACAGAAGGTAAAAAATTTGCACACCACACTTTATCTGTCTTTTGGACACTTTTTGAACACTTCTATGCACACATTCACAAGCTTCCCAATATTCTTCCTTGCACTTTCTCTTCCCTTGCTTTTTATAATATTCAATAGTCAAAGAAAATGCCTCTGTCATTATCATCAACACACTATTTATCTGTTTACATTTTAGTCATCTCATAAGACTAAGTTCCTTAAGAGCGAGGACCCTCCTCCTTGTATACACACAGGTTGGCATATGCTGACAGATAGTGGGTCCTCAAGAAACTTCTATTACACTAAACTATTGTGGAATTTAAGATCCAAATACCATTTTGTTTACATCATTATCTAAACTATAAGTAACTTTTCTGACTTCCCTGGAGTGGAGCCCAGGCATGTGTGCGTAGTGCGTGTGTGTGTGTGTGTGTGTGTATACATATGCGTAAAAATGTAAAAGGCTGATTCTCATGTATACTTTCCATTAATGATCACTTATATAGGGCTTTAGGTTTTCCAAAGAGTTTTCAGGTGTCTTATTTCTGTATGCCCTTCATGACAACTATGAAAGGTAGGAAGAACCAGTATTATTATTTTCATTTTATAGGTGAACACATACAATCCAAAAAGGTTAAGTGACTTGCTTATGGGAACGCAAAGGTGATTCAGTCTAAGACTTTTTTCACTAAAACAAAATGCTTCCAAAGGGTCATAAATTCTCTCTCACACTGTTTTTTAAAACTTCTGGTCCTTGATTTTAAGACCCTCTTAAATCCAACAGCTATTCTCTAATCTAAAACTACTCAAAGGTATGATCCATAGACTTTCAGCATCTGTATCAACTGGGAGTTTGTTAGAAATGCAATTCTTGGGCCCCATCGCAGACAAGTGAATCAGAAACTCTGGGATGAGGCCCAGGAATCTGTGTTTTAATAATGTCATCAGGAGACTCTTACATACACGGAAGCTTCTCAGACTTTAGCCCATTTTATTGACCCCCAGTCAGGTAAACTTCTTTTCTGCTTCTTGTACTCATATCCAGTTTTTTCTGGTTCACATCACAGAAAATTAGCCACATGCACGTTTCATTCACTCCCCCAATACTCATAAAAAACCCTCAACACATTACAAGAGTAAGTACTTAAAATGCGTATCTGCCCAAGTCCCTACCCAATTTAAACACTTCCATGACTATGAATTAATAGGAAAAAGATAAATCACCTACTCTCCCAAAATAACTGACAAAAGAAATAAGCAGGAATTTCACAATAAAGGGAACACAAATAGCCATCAAAAAAAAGTGAAAAGATGTAGAGCCTCATTAATAATCAGGAAAGTTCAAATTACAACCACAACCAGCTACCTAACCAAAATGACAGACATTAAAAATTCTGGTAATACCAACTGTTAATGAGACTGTGAAGCAATGAGAACTTTCAGCCACTGCTAATGGGAGTGTGAATTAGTGTAACTCCTTTAGAAAAGATTTAGCATTACTTGCACATAGCCTACCCTCCAGTGATTCCACTCCTATGTATATAACTGAGAGAAACACTCTACAGAGTGTACCAGGAGACATGTACAAAAATGTTTCTAGCAGTATTGTCCATCAACGGTAGAAAAAATAAAGTGGGGTATATTCATACTAAGAAATACCATACAGCAGTGAAAAGAATACACTACACAGCTACAAGTGTCACCTTGCTTGAGTAGCAAAAAGCGAACTAAGCCTAAGAAGCAAGACACAGTATAGTCTACTTTCATTCGTATAAAATTAAAAAAAAAAAAAAGGCAAAACTAAACCATTTTGTACACAGGCCATAAAGACTATGAAGAAAAGCAGTGTGATTAACATGATTCAGAATGGTTACTTCGAGTTTGGGGAAAAGAGAATAATATGATCTGGGAGTCTGGGAGGTACACGCGGGAGGCTTTCGAGGTGTGGTAATGCTCTGTTCTACTTAATAAACTGGGTGCTGGTTTTCTACGCATGGTTTTATTCTTTCAGTTGTACACATAGTGTACACTCTGCTAAATACGTTATATTTAATTTAAAAAAAACCTGCAACAACCACCAAAACAGTAACAACCCTTTAAAATCCCCCCAAACGCCTCCAGAATGAGTCGAAGTCTTTAACGCTTCCTATTAAGACTGCTTGAGCAGTCCCAGAGATATTTCTCTAGCCTGTCATTCATACTGAAAAGAGACACTCCAGATATCTCTTTCCCCACATCCATACGTCTGCCTGATTCCTTCATTTTCAGCCTTCTCGCCAGCAGAAAACGACCTCCCCATCGCTACGCTACTCCACCTTACCCCTCATGCAGTCAACGACTTCCAGTCTTGGTCGCACAGTGAGATCCCGCAGCGCCCTCCGAAGTTTATTAATCCTCATCCTTTTATAGGAGACGGACTGCTCAACAGCTTAACTTTGAGGGGTCTCCAGCAAAAGCAACAAGTTAGGAGCACGTGGTTTGCACCGTACCGGCCATCGGAGTTGTTTCTCTAGACCCGGCCAAACCACCCCCTTACCCCGTCCCGTACAATATTAGCAATTGTAAGTTCTCGGCTCCACAAACAGACTCCAGATGGCCCTAAACTTCCACAGATAGACAAAGAAAAAGTCTCAACTTAATGTCCACAAACCCCAGCCCTCGGTTCTCCCAGAACCTCACCTCGGTTCTCCTGCTTCGATTTCGGCTTCCGTAACTGGCTTCTCCCAGTCACTGTAGCCGGCACATTTGACGAGGAAGACGCCATGTTACCACTGCTTCCGGTGGTACCGGAAGTTGAACGATTCTCAAATCCCACCGGCTAAAATCCTTATGTTAAAAATGTGTTCCGCGTAACTCAGGCAACGAAAAAAATCTGCGCAGTCTCCGGCCGTGCCTGTGTTTGAGCCAAAGCATTTTCACTAACTACATTGCTTCTTCTACATGGCTGATGGAGTGCTGGAGATGTCCTTTCCAAGATGCACTGCACTCTCTCATGGGCAGAAAATTTGCAGGCACATGATTATGTTAAAAATTTTGCTTTTTTTTTTTTTTCATAAACAGGCAGGATGTCCTGTATTAGAATTTGCTCAAAAAAAAAGAAAAAAGACAAAGCCCTATAACAACAAATAACAATAGGTGAAAGTTATGAAATACGGATTAATTCCTTCAGTGTTCCCAGAAGTCCTATGAAGGTAGTTTTTTGATATTTTCATTTTAAGTGACTCTCAGTCCCTAGTAAGTGCAGAGCCAGGCTTCAGGTCCAAGCAGTCTAACCAGTAGCAGGTCCAGAAAGTCTACTATACTAAAGGAAATTAAAGCTGCAAATGTGTTGGAAGGAGGAAGAGGAGTGGGTCAGGGAGCGGGACTTGAGGTAATACTTGCATGACACACATGCTTTTTGTTTAATAGCAAGATTTTCTACAGAAGCTTTTATTCCCACTAACGTACATACAATTTTACTCATTCTAATGTTAGTATTTGTTAGAGCCCTGGTGGTGCAGTGGTTACGAGCTACAGCTGCTAACCAAAAAGTGGGCAGTTCGAATCCACCAGGCACTCCTTGGAAACCCTATGGGGCAGTTCTACTCCGTCCTATAGGGTAGCTGTGAGTCGGAATCGATTCCATGGCAATGGGTTTTTTAATTGTCAGCTGAAAGCAGAGAATACCAGGAAGATGTTTACCTGTGTTTTACTGATTATGCAAAGACGTTTGATTGTGTGGATCAGAACGAATTATGGATACCATTATGAAGAAGCGGAATTCCAGAACCCTTAATTGTGCTCCTGAGGAGCCTGTGCATAGACCAAGAGGCAGTCGTTTGAACAGAACAAGGGGATATTGCGTGGTTTAAAACAGGAAAGGTGTGTGTCAGGGTTGTATTCTTTCATCATACTTATTCAATCTGTATGCTGAGCAAATCATCAGAGAAGCTGGACTATATGAAGAAGAACAGGGCATGAGGATTGGAGGAAGACTCATTAACAACCTTCGATATGCAGATGACACAACCTTGCTTGCTGAACGTAAAGACAATTTGAAGTAATTACTGATGAAGATCAAAGACTAC